CTGTTAGGACACAATCTTGTGTGCCTGAAAGTAATGGTTCAACTTTTTTGAAGCCATTACTAAGGCCAGCATTAATTTTTCCAGTGGTAGGTATCTTGTTTTCTGCGTCGGCCAAAGTTTTACTACATAATAAACAGCATTTTTGCTCCCCTTTTTCCTCTCGGATTAGCACTGCACTGATTGCGTGTCTGAGACTGCTAAGTACAAAAACGGTTCCTCCCCTGGTACTGGGTGGAAAGGACTGGAGTTGTGGTCAAGTACTTTTTTAGCTCGGTTAAGGCGGCTTCACATTCTTCTGTCATAGGAAGTCTGTGCGTTCTTCACTAGGTTGAAGAAGGGTCTGCACTTATCTGAGCTTCTGCTGATGAAATCTGTTTAGGGCTGCGGTCCTTCCAGTAAGCATTTGAACTTGCTTTGGCCGATGTCGGGTTCTGTAGTTCCAGGATGGCCTTGATTGGTCTGGGCTGGCCTCATGCCCTTTCTTGTTACCAGATACCCTAAAAATTTACCTGATCCAACTCCAAGGTGCACTTCGAGGCGTTGAGTCAGAGCCAATATCTTTTGAGGTATGTCAAACCTCTTTTTTAGTTGGCAAGATGACCCTTTGATTCCTTGGTCTTCACGACCATGTCGTCGATGTAGACTTCTACTGTTTGCCAAATCAGGTGCTTAACATCTTTGTCACTAACCTCTGATAGTGTTGCTCCTGCGTTTTTCAACCCATAAAGGCATTACCTTGTAACAGTATAGGCCTTTAGGGGTGGATGAACGCGGTCTTCTCCTCGTCTGGAGGGTACATGGCAATCTGGATGGTACCCTCTGTATGCATCTAAAAACTCATCCTTTCATGTCCTGAAGTGACATCTACCAGTTGGTCGATCTTGGCAGAGGAAGTTGTCTTTGGGGCAGGCTTTGTTGAGGCTGGTAAAGTCTACACAAACCTCATTTGCCATTTTTCTTTTTTTACTATACTGTGTTGGCAACCATGTTGGGTACTGAACTCTCGGATGGCCCTGGCCTCTAGGAGTCTGTCTACCTCTTCTTCTACTGCTTCGATGTGTATCAACGTCGGTCTTCTGGCTCGTTGAATCACAGGTTTGGCCGACCTGTCGACATTCAGTTTGTGGCAAGTGACCTCGGGGTCAATGCTGACATTTCATAAGGTGTCCAGGCGAACACCTCTATGTTTGCCCTAAAAAAATCTTCCAGTTTTCTCTCTCTTTTCTCTAGCTAAGCCTGAGCTGAGAAGAAAGAAACGTTCTTCGTCGCCTCCTGGACGAAATATATTTTTTAGCGCTTCTTCGCTCTTTTTGGCTGGTTCTTTCCCGACGTCTTCTAGGACCTCCATGTCCTCATCTTCAACTTCTGCTTTCCTTAGCTCTCGTATACTACAAGTGGACTTCATTGCTACCATGGAGCAATTTTTTGCTTGCAGTTGATCTCCTCTAACTTCTTCAATCCCATGCTCGTTGGGAACCACAGTAGTTGATGCAACGTTGAGGGAACTGCCCCCATTGCATGCAACCACGGCCTTCCCAAGATGATGTTGTATGGTGAGGGCGTGTCAATTACCAGAAATTCCGTTCTGGATCTTCTTAGTGCCGGCTTGTACTTCCAAGCTTGTTTGCGCCCAGTGGCCATGTCGGTGTTCCATTAAAGCCGACCATCGGTCCGCTGGATTGTTCTAAGTCATCAGGGTGAAGGCCCAGCTCCTTGTAACATCTGACATACATGATGTCACAAGAGCTGCCTTGATCTATTAGGATGCATTTCACTTGGCATTCCCCAACCTGGAGGGATACTACCAAGGCATCATTATGTGGATGTTGGACCAATTCCAGGTCGGCTTCAGTAAAGGCTATCATCGGCCCTTGGCATTCTTTCGGCCGATGTCTCTTCTCCCCGACTTGGTAGACATGCTGTAAATGTCTTACCCTCTGGTCTCCCCTCTGACTTCGTTTTCGCTGACCCTTGAATGGATCACATTAACCACCCCGGTCCTCCTGCTTGTGGTAGCTGTGCTGGGGGAGGCGGCGCTGCTGGTGCTTGAGGCAACCTTGCCTGTTCTTCCCTGGTCCTAGCTTCATCGACCAGGTCCCTCAGAAGGCCTTGTCTCACCAGGTCCTCCAAGTGTGCTTTCAAGGCTCTGCAACCTTGAGTTGGGTGCCCTTCTTCATTGTGGTAGGCACAACGTCTACCAACGTTCCTTCCCATGAATTCCCCTGGTGCTCTTGCCGGAGCCCTGAAATAAGGTTGGTTTCGAATTTGATCTAGGACTTTATGGATTGGGATTCGGAATACCATCGTTATCGCCTGTTTACTTTTCAACTCTGTTTCTTGTTGGTCGGCCATTGTTGCCTCAGCCTCGCTTCGGCGATCGGTGAGCCGTTTCCCTTTTCTTGCTTTATCTCTTTGTTTCCCGATGTATCTTCTTCGGCTCTGGCGTACTTCTCAATTCTTGCCATGAGTTCTTCCATGCTTTTTGGCAATGTTTTTGCCAAAGACTTCCGTAGTGGGCAGTCATCTTTCAGGCCGTTCTTGAAAGACACGACCGCTACCTCTTGGTTGCATTCGGGTATTCGGTTGAACACCTCGTAGTATCTCTTCGCATAGGCCCTAAGGCCTTCTTCTTTGTTGATTCTTAGAGCCATAAAAGCATCAACCCTCAGGGGCTGCAGCTTGTTGGTCACGAACCTGGCCACAAACATCTCGGCCATGCCTTCCCATGTCTTTACACTTCCCTTTGGTAATTTATGGAACCAATCAGATGCAATTTCCCCAAAGGATGAGGGGAAAACTTTGCAGAGCAACAGCTCGTTCCCGCTATATAATGCCATTGAATTCAGGTATAGTCCAACATGAAAGTTTGGATCTGACTTACCATCATAAATTTGAAACCTTGGTATACTGAATCTCTTTGGTGGTTCGAATTTGTCCAGTTCCACCGAGAAGGCTGTCTTTGATTTTACTGGGGAGTTTACCTCGGCTTCAGCATTCTGTTGTCTCCTTTTGAGGTAGTCTCCCAGGTCTTCTTTGCTCCTCCCTAGAGCTCGGCTGTCTTTGGACTTTAGTCTTTTTGGTACACTACTTTCGGCCTCGTGGTGGGTCCGTTTGGATCTTTCTCCATGGGTTGTGTCAAAGTAGAGTGCTTGCCCTCGAACATGCCGATGTTCTTTGGGTTCTGGATTCTTCATGTGGTGCGTCCTTCGGGACTCTTCTTGCCTCGGCTCTTCTCGTCCGACTTCCCTGAAAGGCCGATGAGAATGCCTTCCGCTCCTGGTATGCTGAGGGACCTCGGGGATTGTTTTTCTTCCGCCCTTCAGGGTGTTGGTTGCTGGCATCGGCGTATCTTGCAGCGGGTATGATGGCTGCATAACATTATTCTGCATTATGAAGTTGACGACTGTCTGCCAACTTGTTCGCCAATTCTTTAACTTCCTCATCCCTCCGTTGGCACCTGTCCCTCTATGTCTGGAGGTTATCTTCATTGTAGTACTTTCCTTGGTCTGTCCTTTTTGACGTATCGCCCTCCTGGATGACGTCTTTCTCTCTGTGACCCCGGTCACGGGCTTCTGTATTGTGGTTGTCTCCTTCAATGTCAAGGTCAATTGGTCTGCCACTCCCAGCGGGAGCGTCATCCCCAATTTTTTCCTGCTGTCCGTTACTGGCCATCTATTCTTCCTTCGTTCCCACAGACGGCGCCAAATTGTGTGGGTGAAAATCTGACCACACTGCTTGCTTAGTGATCAACTGGAGAGCACAGGCAGAATAGATGGCTTCAGTAACCTGTAACAGAAAGAAAAGGCTCCGGCGGTGGTTCTTCCACCCGGGGGCACTCCGACGATCAGGTCTGTATATCTCTCAAAGATAATCAAGTGCAAAACTTAATACTCAAAACATAAATTGCATACCTTAGACCCACGGGGGTGCATTTCTTTTATAATATACTCAATCCAAGTCCCACTAGAAGTATAACTTCTATGAACTCCAATTCAGTGCTTACTTTGGACTCCTCAAGAGATAAAGATAAATTCCCTAAGAGCTTTATCCTTATCTTAGTTAAGTCCCCTCTTCGTCTTAGGACTCTTGTTCCTTATTCGCTTATCTCGGATTCCGATATCTTTGGAGATAACCTCGGCAACTCCGAGATTACCTCGGCCTAACTACCACAACACGTGGCACCTCGGCTGACACGTCGGCGTCACCATGCCACGTGTTGGTATTCAGAAAATATATCCCCACACACTCTTAAGTCAATTTTTTTGAAAACGTGTAATGGCATGAATCGTAATCTACTGGTTCAGCTCCTCTACACGGTTGCCATGTTGATCATTTGTACTTTTTTTTGGGACTTCAGCCAAACATTGCAAAATGAACCCAAGGTACAACAACACTGAAAAAGATTTGTGTTGATTTGTGTTGTTTTTTTTAAAACCAAACTACATAATATTTTTCAGTTCCAAAACTTGGGAATTAGCTGCTGGGTTGCTAGTCGTGTACATGGATTAGCTGATCTGTTTGTTTGGAAAGTCATTTTTTTTAGTGATTTTTAAAATATAAGGTAAAAAAAATTGAAGTGTTTGTTTGTTTGTTTTTATTTATTTTTTAAAAATGAACATGCAAAAGGTAAAAGAGAATGAGATTGAATATTTTATTTTTTTTAGAGAAAATTTCATTTTGTCCTTCAAATTATATCTCGGTGATCAATTTAACTTTTAAAAATTTTATAATTTTAATCTTACATCTAAACTATTTAATTTTGGATCAATTTTGCCTCTGCTGTCAGCTGCCATTTTTATTTGAAATTTCATTTTACCCCTCAAACTATTCCCAAAATATCAATTAGACTCCTAAACAATGTGAAGTTTGGGGGTCTATTTGATATTTTTAAATAGTTTGGGGGTTAAAATAAAATTTTGGTGTCACGTCAACAACTTTCATTTGATTATAAATGACGGCTAACGGCATGGATAAAATTGATCTAAAATAGTTTAGGTGTAAAATTAAAATTATAAAAAGGACAGGGGTTGCATTGATTATGGAGGTATAGTTTTGGGGGTAATAATTCTAACACGGAACAGACCTAGAAAGTAAAATCATAGCTCATTCTAACAAATCTTAGGCACATATAAACCGAACGCAGAAGAAATCTCAAACATTCCCATGATAACACATTGAATATTTAAGCTCATGCGTTAACACAGTACACTTATTCTGAAAACACATTCACTCTCACTCACATTAATACAAACATAGAAACTGTTTCACATGCAGATGCATAATAGTTTGTTGAAATAAAATAGTGGATGACAGGGTGGTGGCCTGAGCAAACAACATCAGATCAACGTCGGGAGGGGGGCGAAATAATAATCATAATTAGGGCAATGACAGTCTGTGTGATAGTGAGGAGGAGGAGAAAAGCAGCTGCCATAGTGGCAACAGTAACCCATATATTTTTGAAGTAATCACGCTTCAATGAAGCTTTTGTTTTGTTCCACCATCTCTTGCAATGAGCGTTCACTTCGCTGCACATTTCAGCATAGTAGAGCTGATCCTCAATTATTGTTCCGTGACCCAGTTTGTTAAACATAAGTGCCACCTCTTCGTCATCACCCAGACAGTTGTCAAGAACACCATGGCTACGAAGTTGTTTCACATCTTCTTTGGAGTTGATAAGTAGACCCATGAAGTATGTATAATCGGTGAAATATTGTTGTTTGTCATCTGAGGAATGTTGCTCATAGGCAATGATGTTACGGAAGAATGTTTCTGTCCAATCATCGACCTCAAACTTTGGTATTTTAAAATGACCATGTTCGAAGCGGATATCGAATATGCTGAGGTTGGGCTTATCATCATCCTCCACAACCTCGAACTTGATACCAGCGTCCCGAAGCTCTATCACAGACGGCATCATAAAGGAAGTTCTCTGATTCTTGTTTTGGCATTCATTTGACTTTTCTCTGGAGGAGGGGCGATAAACATTATGCAACAAGTCAAGAAAGTGCTTGCTTTCAGAGACGGATGTATCTTTAAAACTGATAATGGAAATGTCGAACTTTTTTGGCATGATCCGACAGAAAGGATACGTAACCGACTGCATGGGGATGAAGGTAGAAGGAGGATTTTGGTTTGAATTTTGGGTCCCGGTGCTGATGGAAAAAAATTTAAATATAACAAAGAATGGAAGTTGGTTTTCAAGCCGCATCAAGTCACAGCAAATATGTGCTTTCATCCATGATGTGTTGACAATGGGGTCGTAATCGTGACCCACATCTTGTGATTGTTGTCCTTGTTGACGTTGAAACTTAGCACTGTCATAATGAGTCACAAGATCAAGAAACTCAACAATAAAGCAAGCATCATATAGCATCATCTTCACGAACTTGTCACTGTCGAGGTCAATGGGGTCTGCATAGTACTTGCGAGCTCTTTCTTCTAACATTTTCATGGAATTCAAGTAATGCTTCTGTGTCTGATGGGTACGTTGAAGAACTAATTCCAAATAACGTTCTTTATGTTTTTCCATAGCAAGTAGTTTGGGTTGACCGTGGTGGTAAGGCCCTATGGAGACTAGCCTAGGTGTGTATGCGTTTGTATTTACATTACGCAGTTCTTCATGCACTCTAAAGATACAAGGTGGTTCATAGGTCATAGCTTCTCTTTCTTCAATGTCGACGGTATGCTCTTGCATCGCCGCTCAACACCACTTGTTATCTGTTTATATAAACTAACATTTAACACATGCAAAATGAGTCTTATATTTATATTCATTAATTAGAATTTTTATTTTTAAAAATATATTATATTTATTATTTATAATTGTAAAACTATCATTACTAGCTATTACATAATTCTGTATAAATTACTTGCTTTTAGTATTTATTTTTTTTTAAATAAAGGGAATTTTATAATGCACACCCTCTTAGGTTTCAATTACAACTTTTGTAATATTTGATTATGATTTATTATAGTGTTAATTATAATTTAATTATGACTTAGTTATAATTTATTTTGACCTTAATTATGACATTGTTATTCAAAAGATGTTTGATTATCACATATATGGTGTTTGATTATGACTCTTATGACTCTTTTTTATTTAAGTTATAATTTAAAAAGTTTTAATTACTACATTTATGATAATTAACACTACAAATATCATAACTTTCATATAATACACACCCTTTAAATAGAATAAGTTAACCATTTGTATTACAATTTGAGAGTGTACCATATAACATGATCCTTAACACCATTTTTTTTTTTCAATCAATAGAGAAATGATAGAGGTTCCAAAGATAAGATCGAGAGAACTACCAAATAATGTTACTCATCATGAAATAAATACCATAAAAAATTTCATGAAATTAATCTAAGGTGATTGCATAATATATAATAAAAAACTACATACTAATTCAAGAGGGGAGAATCTTTGGTAGCGTATGATATATTTTTTGAATTTTGATTTGAGAATAGAGTTGTATTTTAAGTTTGTGAATTTTAGAATTATGATTTGAGTGTTAAAAATTTGTTTGGTTATAAGTTTTGAAAAGAGTTTTGAATTGAGTTTGGAATTTTTGATGTGACATATGATATTTGATTCAAAAACTTACAACTCATAACCAAATACACAATCCAAAATTATATTCAAAACTCATAATTTTTTTAAAAAAGTTCAAAACATATTTTTTTATTTAAAATATAAAAATAACAGGGCCAAAAAAAAAAAAATCACTATTCCGGTCAACTGGCCGAACATCTGGGAGGACATCCGGGAGGATGACCAGGTAGACATGTTTTCAAAAGTGGATGTGAAATTAATTTTTGAAAATTCTAACCAAACACAACACTCAAACCAAGGTGTGGAATTATGTTTCCAAAACTCCACTGAATATAGTCTTTTTTTTTTTAATCAACAAAAAAAATATTTATTGAAAATTTTTCATGATATTTCTTTCATGATACTCAGCATTATTGTTACCGAATTCTCATTTAGAAAATTTGTTTGGTAAATGAGTTTTGAATTGAGTGGGGAGCTTTTGATGTAATATATGATATCTGATACAAAAACTTACAACTCATAACTAAACACATAATTCAAAAATCTATTAAAAACTCATAAAAAATTAAAAAAAATATTGTTTTATTAAAAATATAAAAAAAATCGCACTGTCAGTCAACCGACCGGATGACCGGTCGGATGTCTGGGAGGATGACCGCTAGGCCAAATTTCAAAATTTAAAAACCCGCCTAGAACGAGTTTTCAAAATGAGGGGTGGAATTAATTTTTCAAAATTCAAACCAAGCATCATACTAGAATGTAGGGATAGAACTATGATTGCAAAACCCGTATTTTCATATGATTTTCTCTTTTGGAGGGGAATTTTTTTTAAAAATTGAAAATAATATTTTTTTAGTATTTATTCTTATCCAAGTTATTTCTAATAATTATTCAAAAAAAAATTCAGAAATTATAAAAATATGAAAGATTACTCACTTTCAGGGCCGCCCTTGAGATTTAGGGGGGCCTAAGGTGAATTTTGAAAATGGGGTCCTCTCTTACATTGAAAAAAAAAAAGAGTTCATGAATAAACCATAAATTACAACTTTTTATTTGTTTGTAACCATAAAAAAATTTACATGCATATATATCATTAAAATTTTAAACAAAACAATTTAATGAAACAAAATTATGGCGAAAAAATTAGGAAAAAATTATTAAATTAAAACAGATAAAGACCTAGGTAAAAAAATTAGAGCAAAATTATTTATTCCACTAAAATCTAATAGATAAAGAAGGTAAGAAAAAAAAATTAGGACCCATATATTGTATGTATTATTCTTCTTGGGCCCAAACAATTTTTTTTAATATATATTTTCATTTTAATAAATATGGGAGAAACTACATTTATAAATAAATATGAGCTAAACCATATATGGATCCAACAAAATATTTTGGGGCCTTTTAAATTGATCCTAAAAAAAAAAAAAAACACATTGAGCCTATGACATTTTACCAAATTTGGGAACCCTATTTTTGGACCAAAATCTTGAGGCCTAAGACACAGGCCTTACTGGCCTTAGGCTAGGGCCAACCTTGCTCACTCTGACTCATCCTCTAAAACCATCTTCAAAGGGGGTTTATCTTTCATATATAGAGAAAGTATCAATATGGAGGACAAACATAATTCATTTTTTTAGTGTAAATTGCAAGTATACTCTTTGAGATTTGTCTAAAATATGAATTATTTTTTGTAATTCTAAAAATTACATCTTATTTCTTGAAATTTTTAATTTCATAACAAATAATTCCTTTTATTAACCTATATTTTTCTTTTTCTTTTTTAAATCATTTTTCAAATTCATAAACCACCGCTACTCAATCAGTTTAAACCCATCTATAAACCTTCTCTTACCACACTTTAAGCTGTGATTATATTTGCTCAAAAAAAAAAAAAAAAAAAAAAAAAGTGATTATAAATTCACTGGGCCAAAGTCTAAGTTCCAATGCATAGATCTGAAAATACCAAAACCTATGAAGCACAGATATGAGTACAAGTATTGATACTGGTACGATATGGGTACGTTGATACGATAAAATCCAAAAAAAGTAAGGTACGGCTATGACTTGGTACGCTTATAAAAAAAATATTTAATTTTAATTTAGAGTAATGTAAAAATTAATTAAATGATTTAATTTGTTAAGATCCAACCTATAATTAACATTTAATGTCAAAAATAAAATGTATAAATCAAAATTAAATGTCAATATATAAATAACTTACAAATCATTGTTTAATTTTAAAATCATGCTAAGTATAGAACTAAAAATAAAAAGAAGTCTACTGAAAGGAGTTTTATCTCTGTATAATAAAAGAAAATATTGTTTTAACTGAAGTATGATACAGTTGGTACGCTAAAAATTAAGAAAAAAAAAATTAAATACGTATTTCGTATACCCAATACATATGTAGAAGTACCATACGAGATACAATACGCTAAATACTTAATACAGAGTACGATATATTTTTCGAAGTATTCATATTTCATAAACCAAAACATAAGAGTAAGCTCGAGGGTTGCTAGTCATGTTACATGCATTGACTGATCTAAGCTAGCAGCTAACTATGCTACTATCCTAGGTTGCTCTACTCATTTATATACTCTGACTCTTCAGATTATATCATATCATACAGGCAATGTTGACACAATTGGAGAGAGAGAGAGAGAGAGAGAGTTCATACCTTGTAGAGCTCACAACCAAAAGGGTTCAGAGGAGCTAGAGAAGGACTTGGGGCGTTTGGCTTTCTGCATTCTCGGCGTAGACAAGCTCTGTGTTGCTCTTTATATATCCTCTGTATTCTTCCTCGACAACCCCCCTTCTTTGTCTATGGATTTAATTTAAAAAAATTTAATTTTAATTTAGCTCACATGCCAAGTAAATTAGGAGGAGACTGAAAAAGTCAACAACAGATAAATCAATTATGCAATCAAACAACTCTCTCCCCCTCTCTCTCTCTCTCTCTCTCTCTCTCTCTCAATAATGCAATCAAACAACTCTCTCTCTCTAATATGAGTAAAAATTTAATATTAAAATAAATGTAATAAATAATTGTTTACTATTCATGAATGAAATCAACAAATTAAAAAGTTGTGAAGTTAAAGATAAATAGTAATACAATAAATAAATATAAATAACAAAAATGTTACCTACCTTAAATTTTTTACTAAATTTTGGTGGGATTTATTTTCATGTGAGTGTTTGATAAAAAGTTTATGTGAAATAAATCATCTCCTTATAAGGGTAGCCATCGGTTTGTTGGTCTGCCCAACTTACCTAATCCAACCTGATATTTTTATGATTTGGGATAATTATTTTACCCATAAGGCTAGACTGAGCTAAGATTTTGTATCCCTAATATGGGGAATGGCTCATCTCCATATAGGGTGGCCATTAGCCTGTTGGCCCGCCCAACTCACCTAGTCCAACCCAATATTTTCACAGTTTGAAATAATTATTTTAGGGAGAATTACTTGAAAATGAGGCAAAACAAAATAACAAAAATATATAGAGTGCAAGTGAGTCTGTAGTGGGGTGTAAGTGTAATATTGTGGGGGTGCAAGTTTCACTTGCACCCCTTCATGTTTGTGTATTTTCTTTTTTTTTCTGTCCAATTGTTCAATAATTCTCCCATTATTTTACCTATAAGGTCGGGCTGAGCTAAGATTTTGTACTCATTTGATATTCAGGCTGAGTTTGAGATAAAGAGTTCTATTCCAGCCCAATCCAACCGACCCATTTATAAAATATAGAAAAAATGAAAAAGGCAAAAAAGTATATATTCTTTTTAGGACTTGAATTAAAATATTTGTTAAAAATCACATCAGCTTGTTTGGTTTTATTTTTTAGAATTCACTTTTCAGAAATTTTTTTATTTTTATTTTTCATGGTTTTTTTCACTATTTTTTTTAATATTTTAAACAATTTTTTAATTTTTTTTTTGGATACACCTAACATAAATACATTTAAAAAGTATAATATTTTTGAAAAAAAATATTTACAAAATTTACTAAATACCAAAAATAAACAAAAATGAAAATTCAGTACATTTTTTGTATTCTTGTGTATTTATTGATTTTTTTTTAATATTTTACTTTTTAGATACATCTAAGGTACATCTAATAAAGTAAAAAAAAAAAATTGCTTAAAATTTAAAAAATATTTACTAAAAAAAAAGCTTAATTTTCAGAAAATTGAAACCAAATATAGTGATATTTTTTTTTTTACGGAAAATTTACCCATAAATCCTAGTTTCTGAAAAGTTGAACCATTTAGTCCTAAAAGTTTTCTTATGCTCCATTGAGTCCCATTTATACATCATCATGATGTTCATGATGTAAATGAATCTGATGTTTCATTCTATAATTTCAAAATTTATTGAAATCTGATGAGTATTAGATGTTTGAAATCTAATGTTTGAAACATTCATCCTATAATTTCAAATATTATTGAAATCTGATGAACATTAGATGTTTGAAATCTAATGTTTGAAACGTTAATCTGATGTTTGAAACATTGTAATGGGACCTTTCAGTCTATAAGAAAACTTTTAGGACTAAACAGTGTATAAGTTATTAATTTGGGATTTATTGGTGCATCCCCCTTTATTTTACTATTGAATTTTGTTAACTTTCTAAATTAGGATATTTATTCATAAATCTCTCCTCACCTATTTATATTGCACTTAGTCAAAATTATTTTCTTATATTCTAATAAATCCTGTGAGTGATATAGTTACTAAAATATTCCTAATAATAATAGGGTGAAGTGCGTATTATAATGTTTACATGTTTATGATGTGAACATTCACACTGTCAAATATTAATATTCACATTACCAAATTGCTAAGGGTTCAAAAAATATTTATAAAAGTAAAATTGTCCATAAAATACCTTAAATATGAGAATTATGATTTGGTTCGCAATTTTTAGTTTTAGCCAAAAAGTTACTATAAGTTGTCGTATCACTTTTTATTTTTCTACACGTCTTTTCGTAAAAAGTTAAAAGTTATTAAAATAGCTTATTTCCAAACGAGGCCTATATATCCAAATAATAGGATTTATTGGAATATAAGAATATATTATGGATTAATTGGGATATAAGTACTTGAAAAATGATTTCCTAATAAATTCTCCAAGTAAATTCAAATAAAAAATAAAAAGATTTAAATAATTTAATAATCATGAAAAAAATAAAAATTAATAACTCATATCTATCTAGTTAAATTGGCGAGTTTGGGATTTGAAATTTTTTTAAGGCCATTGTTGGGATGGTTAGATTAGGCTCGATGTCGACTCAGGTCAGATCGGACTTGGGATGACACCTATATTCTTACTATATAGTGCAAGTTCGGCCCCGAGATTTGTCCATCCTATCACTATTACCATTGGGGGATTCTATGTGCATCTAAAAAATCATTTAGTTCGCCCAGTTTTTTAGTACACACTATTAAATTATTTAAAGTTATAATTTACTCGCAATACACCTAAAGTTTTTTCATAAATTAACCTTCAAGATACACTCATATAATAAACCAATCAAAAACTACTTTGATTATTATCCATAGATAAAGCGAATCAAACAATACTGAATCAACCTATCACAAATTAAATGCACCAATTATTTCTTAAATCTGCAAACAGAATGATCAAATTCAATATGCCCGTTTGGATGTGTGTTCATTCGGTTTTTTGTTTTTATTTATGCTGTATTTGGTTTGAAGATTTGGAAAGAGATTTGTAAAGTGAAAGGAAAAAGACAGGTGAAATGTGAATAAAATATATTTACATTTCACCTAAGTTCATACACATTTTCTCTTTTCTTTTTCAAATTCCTTCTAAAATCTCCCAACCAAATAAAACGTTAGCGAAAAATACATTAAAGTTGTTTGGAGTACTATTTCCAAAAACTGGTTTAGGAGTAACTTCCTGTAGCAATCCGATTTTAAGAAAAAAATATACGTAGTTTCTGGATTTTCAAACGTTGTTTTCCCACAAATATGAAGGATTTTTAAAAATTTGTTTTCACACAAATTTTAGTCCTTATTAATAATGATATTGATGATAATAGTGAGTTTTAATAAGGTAGATTAGAGACTTAGAGTGTAAGAGAATATAAAAAAAAAAAAAAATTGAAATTTGGGAAAGAAGATGGAGGAGTTTAATATAAACAATAAGTATAAGTGATTAGAATATACCATGAAAAAAAATTATTTTAAGATTTAATATATATTGTCCTTATTGGTAAATTTATATTAGAATATAGGAACTAAAATTTTAAAATTTTTATTAGACGTACTGAGTTATTAATTGGATGTAAATAGAATCACCCATTACCATTATCCTCGGTACTCTTCCATATTATATTTTGTGGGCCTTATTTTAAATCCACAACAATAATCCAAAGGCGATTATCTCGTAAGACTCGCAGTAAAGATCATCTGTGTAAAAAATTAATTTCATCGAATATCGATGAATAGATGAACAAATCATATTTTGTTTTATATAATAGATAATTTAAGTTTAAACTCATAGTTATCGTCTATTTAAAAAATATATATAATTTGTTCATGTGTCTGTTGATATCCTATGAAATTGATTTTTTATATAGCTAATCTTCATTGCCAGATCTACAAGATGAGTGGGTTGGATTATGGTTATGAACTGAGAATAAGACTCACAAAATATACTGTAGAGAAGTATAAAAATTAGGAGGACTTATGTATAGGTCATTATAGGTGGATTTATTGTCCAATAAGTTCTATGATAATTAATGACATTTTTCATCAAACAGTATTAAAAACATCACTTATTGTTAATTTTCAGGAACCGTTTGAAAATTTTGTTGTAAAAAATGTTACTAATTATAAGTTTTAGCAACAGTTTAAAAAAAATCGTCATTAATTTTTAACTTTTAGCGACAGTTTGAAAAATTAATCACAGGAAAACATCCTAATTGTAAGTTTTAGCGACACTTTATAAAAATCGTGACAAAAAAAGTCACTAATTGTCAATTTTTAGTGACATGTAAAAAAATTGTCACAAAAAAATTAATTTTAACAATAATTTTATTGAGATTTATTTTTAATAAAATTTGATAAGAATTATATCTAACTATTAATCCCTATTGATAATTTACCTCAAAAATTAATGATATGGAGGAGAGGTCATTCCCAATATTGCTCTATAAATAATTATATATGCAGAAATTAGCGTGAAACGTTGAAAAATATTGCACTTGTTTGAATGGATAGACTTTGCTTGGTGTAATCACTACAAAAAATTACGGTTTTAGAGACTAAAATTTAGGGATAAAATTATTTTTTAGGGGTCAAATATTTTTGTTCCGAAAAGTGTCGTTATTATATTTTTATAAATAATTAATGATTAATCATTGTAATGAATAGTGCATTGAAATGAGAATTGCCGACATTGAATAAGAATTAGTTGTTATATTTCAGGTTATTTTGGAAAGATAGTTAAAAATAAGTTTTTAAATTTTTTTTAGCTTTTTTTTAAAAAAATTATGTAAAAGTTGTGAGAGATGTGATTTAAAATAGGTTAAAAGTTGAAAGATAGCTTTTAACCATCTTTCGAGCATATTAATGAATTCATGGTGTGAATGGCTGAGTGATTTTTCTATATATATATATATATATATACTAGTTTCAAAAGGCCCATATATTATTACAGTATATTTAAGTTTTGTATTTTGATAATTTTTTAAAAATTAAAATATTATTCTATGAAATTGAATAGAACAAATCATTAGATATATGATAGAATTATGTGGCATGATATGTGTCATTTTTTGTTTT